GGACCAATACACACACTAACATATTAAAACTAGTTAGAAAGTAAATTATTAAAGCTGGCAAAAAACAGTGAACATGCTAAACATTAAAAGCTTGTTTAAAAAGATGCGTTTTTAACGCTGACTTAAACGCTGCCGGCTCAGTTATCGAGCGTATATCTAAAGGCAGGGAATTCCACAGCCTAGGGCCATGCACGGCAAAGGCGCGACCTCCCCATTTTTGTAGTGTGCAGGGGGAACGACTAGAGCAAGATGACCCGATGATCGTAGGATTCTGCGAGGGACGTATCTAGCCAAGAGGTCAGACAGGTACTGAGGGGCAAGGCCATGCATGGCTTTAAAAACATAAAGCAAAACCTTAAAATCTACTCTCCATTTAATGGGCAGCCAATGAAGAGAAAGCAGAACTGGAGTGATGTGGGCATGCCGACGAGTGTTTGTCAGCAGACGGGCAGCCGCCTTCTGAACAAGTTGGAGCCTGGAGAGTGATGACTGGGATAACCCGGAGTACAGGGCATTACAATAATCAAGCCGGGAGGTCACAAACGCATGAATGGCTTTCTCTAAGTCACTATGAGAGAGAAATGGCTTTACCTTTGCTAACAATCTTAGCTGGTAGAAGCTGGTTTTTACCACTGACTTGATGTGCACATGACAAAAAGGCTGAGTCAACTTTTAACTGGTTGCCTATGTTGTCAGAGCCTTTTGATGGCTAGAGGTGACTTTCTTTACAAATTACAGAAGCATCACCTACTTGAAATACAACTAATTCTGATGATTTTGAAAAAGTGTCAATAATTCTGTCCAGTCCTATTTTGGAGTTCTGTGTGGAATGGATCAGATTTGGCTTTTTTCTCCGCTTTTTTGTGTTGCTCCAAAGCAAACAAAAGAAATAAACAATTTGTGATTGCAACAGTTATCTGGGAGAAGTGGTGTGTTGTCTGAGAAATGCAGGGGTGCCAATATTTTTGGCCATGACTATATGTAAACAGTCTTTAAAAAATAGCTATCCGGGATTGTGCGGTGTATAGCGCATGGAAGCTTGCACAGAAAGATAGGTTTGACTCTGACTCAGTCTGTTATCTCCAGTCTTCGTTACATATGTTTTGTTCCTTCACAGTGCTGTTGAGTGCTGTCATTTGTAGTTGCGCTGCATGTACACAGCCCAAACCAAGTCTCAAGGTGTCTACTCTCTAGTGACTCACTGGGATATCAAAATGCAGAAACGGAGTCCACTCAGAACTTATTCACATTTTCAAATAGTACAGCAGAAGCTAGAGGTTGCATGTTAATCCCAACAGAAGCTATGAGTCTCCTGCACTATGATGTCTGCAAGTGTTTTCCTTGACTCTTAAATTCACTTTTCCTTGAAATTACAAGTTAAATTCTCTTTTTATTTCCCCAGACCATAATGAATCAGCAGAAATTTACTGTAGGTGTGCTGATCGATACCCACTGATTCGCTTATTGCTAGCAGGTGCTGAGCTTGCTGCCTTTCTGGTCCAGCCTGTGCTTTGGATCAAAAAGTGCCCACTCACTGAAATGTCAGGCCTCTCCCTACACTCACAGACACTCAGAACAGCTTTCCCGACAGAGATGAAAAAGTCTTGCTCTTCAGGCAAAATGTGAATACACTTGTGGTTTTCAAATGGTATTCCTGTATTTGGCATGGCAATAAATCCACTATCTGAATAACTGAACATTTCTAGATGAATACAGAGACCATGTGCTCAGTCAGATTCCTTACGGTGCTCTTGATAATGAGAAAAAAGACAAACTTGTCTTTGTGCTCTCCTGGCACTGTCTGTTATACACACAGTAATCACACATGTGTGACACTTCTATAATGAAGGAGCAGACATTTAATCTTAAAAGATAATCCCTGTTTATAACAGCATCTTCTGCACTAGTTGGGAACTGGCAAAAATGTAGCCAGTATTTAACAAGTACTAAGGTCAGATGTGCATGTACTCACATATATTTTTTATTTATATTTATATTAATGCCAGCATTTACTTCTGTATTTAAACTGGCTTTGGAGACACTTTTCCCCTACAGGTGCAATACCAAGCCTTCGTCAGGGCACCAAAATCATGTAGGTGTTCAGCTGGAGTACAACTGGAGTATCCAGGTCATTTGCACAGAATCAGTCTCAGAAATGAATAAAAACAAATTTAGTATTAGTAATTGCAATTATTGAAAAGAAATGGTCTATGGTTCATGTTCTATGAGCTCACGTAGCAGAGGATTATGGATAACTGAGTCCATGTTGCTGAGAAAGCCCATACATTAAAGGAATATTTCGGGATTTTTCAAGTTGGTGTTAAAATAATATTGATATATCCCTTTGTAAGTGAGAGTAGGTCTTAGTCATTGTCACTTATACAACTCTCCATACTGACCCTGAATGCATTTGAAACTCAGAGGAAGTTTGGAGTGAACTTTTGCACAGAATGAAAGTCATTTTTTGCAGCATAGTGGTGTTCTGGGTGGAAACATTCAGGGTCTACTGTATATGGAGAGTAGGAGAAGTGACAATGACTAAGACCTATTCTCATGTTCATACATATCAATAATGAAAAATGTCAAGCTTTAAAATTGAAGAACCACAGAACAAAAAAAAAAAAAAAAAAATAGCTGACTCGTCACCACCTCAACTCTATACAATTAATAAAACAAGTTTTAAAATTCTTCTCCACACTTTTTGAATTCTGTTATTTTCTTTTTTCTTTTTTTGACTTTAAAAAACGCAACACCTGAAATATTTATACTGTATGTGAAATCATAAAAACACCTCTTTACGCCATTATATGTAAGTGATAGTGTACCTCATTATTGGCGAGCTGGAACCATGGCTGCTTGCCATAAGTGAAGATCTCCCATAGGATGACTCCAAAGCTCCACACATCACTTTCTGTGGTGAACTTTCTGTACATGATGCTCTCTGGAGGCATCCAGCGGATAGGCAGCATGGTGTGACCTCCCACCTGAACACACACATACACACAAATCTGTATGATTAATACCCTATCTTATACATAATGCTTTTTGATGATAATGCAAGTATTCACAGTGACCTCCACAATTTATAAAGGGTCATATATAGTACCTGCCTCACTCACATAATGCTGTTGCTTTGTACTGTAACTCAGGCCAATTCTAGGTTTATGATTTACAGTTTAAAATATAAAAATGGTCTGACATCATAGTTGACTGGTTAAAAGCTTTTGCTGTATTGTCCCACATATTAAAGTGACCTTCTGATAAAAAAATGATGGATCCATCTATCTTCAGAATGTTATTCCTTGCTTTTTAAATTCAACATGACAGGTTCCAGCTGATTGTATTTGGCATAACTGTTTGTGTATTAGTAGTAAAGTTCTTGTCTGTGACTTCACACTTGGTCCATTCCCAATTCACACATAGAACAGAGGAGAAAAACTAATATTTACATTCTCCTTATAAATCCTCTTGTAATCATAGTAATTCCTGATCTAAGTAACTGTTATATTGTCCTTAAATGTCCTAAAATGTGATATGAGCTTCAGCTAAGTTACATTTATAATAGAAATAAGATAAACAATAATCATACATGTCTTAATTGAACACAGACAGTCACAGTGTGGGTCAAAAAAAGCAAGTTAACCCATTAAAAACTGGTTTAGTCTCCTCTTTTATTGATGTCCTTAGCCTAGGGATTCAAAAATGTTTTCCAATCTACACTGTGAATGTTTGAAACATATTCAGTATGGAAAAGATCAATACAGTGAATTGTGTTCTCTTATTAGTTCATGAATTATTTCATTATTTTACCTTAGATAAAGATCTTACCATATTTTAAGACAAACTGATACAGAAATGCTGGACATATCAAAGAGTTCACTTGCTCAAGCCACTGTATACCTGTTGTGTTTGGAGGTCAGTATAATTGTTGACATGAGTATGTTCAGATCAGCAGGAGTGTCTTTTACCGCTGTGATCTGTACGTCGGAGGTGACTGGGGTGGATGGTGTGCATGCAAAACACAGGAGACTTTGGTTATAGCTAGAGAAATGCATGTACCTGTACCAAGGCACAACATTCACTCACATAAATGGACCCCTTGTAAAAAATGAGATCCATAACAACACTAAATGTGTCCTAAAAGCCCTAAAACAGCTTATGACAGAGCTTACACATAGAGACAGACAACCATTCACACCCACATTCACACTTACTGACAATTTATAGTCATCAATCAACTTAACCTGCACGTTTTGTACTGTGAAAGGAAGCTGGAGTACCTGGAGAAAACCCACAGAGGCAACGGGACAACATGCAAACTCCACACCGAAAGGCTCTGGTTGACCCAAAGTTTGCACCCAGAACCTTCCTGCTATGAGGTGACATTGTTAAGAAATGCACCCCTGTGCTGCCCATCAAAACATGATAGAAATTACATCAGTATAATGTTAGGAGATAGGAATGGGAGGTCTGTGTGGATTATTGGGTGCACAAGGTACATGACTTGGACACTGCAGTTCATGTACTAAAACTGAGGAAGTGAGTTCAAGATGGCGCCGCTGTGTTTGGTCTGCCGCCTACTCCTCCTGTGTATTGGTTGTTTTATTATTGTTGTCTCCTCGGTTGTTCCCACCTTGGTATATGATCGTCTGATGGTTTTAGAAATACGAAATTCAATGGGTAGCTGTCCAAATTCCTGTCGAAGTCATCAATCCAGTTCTCCACCACCACCGCTGGCATCCATACCTCCTTTTCTTCGATGCTCACACTGTCCTCTCCCTGTTAAATTACGCCAGATGCGACACGGCATGAGAGCAGGCCCTCACATTAAACTAAAATTGTGTGGGAACCCTTCGCTGGGGATTGGGTACCTCCAGGAGCTTGGCTACCATGACTCAAGTTGGACTGTCATCCACAACTATCCTTTTCTCCAACCTGTTGGCTCTGACGGCGTCCCCCTCCATTCACATGCCCGACTGGTGAAACGCTCCAGCCAACACTGTCTCCATGCCAATCTTCGCCCAGTGATCTGGGCTGCCTTTCCACAGGAAAAAACCAGCTTGCTCCAGTTTGCTCTTTTCAATGCAAGGTCACTTAATAACAAAACCTTCATTTTAAATGATCTCATTTCCACTCATGATCTGGATATGCTCTTCATCACGGAAACCTGGTTAAAATAAGGTGACATTTCTCTTTCCTCTGAACTCCTACTGGCAGATCATCTATTTCTTAATACCCCACATCTCGTTGGGAGAGGTGACTGTTTGGCATCTGTTTTCAAACCGACATTAAAATGTCACCTTCTTCCCTCCAATGCCTTCGCCAGTTTTGAGCTACAAACCTTTTTACTAACTTTGCACTGCCCTACTTTATGTGTAGTTATTTATCGGCCTCCGAAAGCAAAGGATTTTATTTACAAATTTGGGGAACTTTTGGCAGTTCTTATCCCATAGTCTGATTGTCTGTTGATTTGTAGTGATTTTAATATTCACATCGATTCATCCTCTGACCAGCTTGCAAAAGAGTTTAATGCACTGCTGGATTCTTTTGACCTTAACCAGTCAGTTTTATGCCCCACTCATCAACGTGGGGGCATATTAGACCTTGTCATCTCTCGAGCGCTACCTGTCTCCATTAGGGATGTGTCAAATCTGGCCATATCTGACCAGTTTTTCATTCATTTCGAGGTCACGTTACTGACAAGGCTGCCCAGACCGGTGGCCCCATTACTTTTCTCGTTGTATATGGCACCACTTGCGGCAATTTTATCCAGCCATGATGTCCATTTTCATTTTTATGCGGACGACATCCAGATTTACATGCCACTGATTGTGTACGACTTAAATTCACTAACTCCGTTGGATAATTGCATTCGGGATGTCAAGCAATGGCTGGCTCAAAATTTCCTTTACTTAAATGAAAGTAAAACTGAATTAATTTAAATGAATTAACCGTGGGCACAGCAAGCCTAGATGTCTCGGCCCTCCCACTCTCGAAGATGGTGAAAAACCTTGGAATAATATTTGACAGTGGTTTTACTTTTGATAAGCACATCAGGGCTGTGGTTAAGACCAGCTTTTTTAATCTAAGACTTTTAACCAAGGCAAAACCTTTTTTGTCACATGCCGATTTAGAGAAAGCATCCATGCTTTTATTACTTCACGGTTGGACTACTGTAATGCACTTTATGTTAGGGTATTGCAAGCATTGCTCCGTAAACTTCAATTAGTCCAAAATACAGCAGCCCGGCTGTTATCTAACTCTCCTAGGTATGTTCACATCACCCCGGTTCTTTGCTCCTTGCACTGGGTTCCAATTCAGTATAGAGTTAAATTTAAGACGTTGGTGTTTATTTTTAAGGCTATCCATGGCCTCGCTCTGCCGTACCTGTCTGACCTGCTGTCGATTTATGTGCCGCATAGAGCCCTTCGCTCCTCAGAACACTTGTCCCTAGCTGTCCCGCATTCTAGATATAAAAAATGGGGTGACCGGTCATTAGCGGTATATGGCCCCAGACTTTGAAATTCTCTTCCCTTAGAGGTACGGTCTAAGACTGAGCTAGTGGTTTTTAAGTTGGCCCTAAAACTTTTTTTTTAAACAGGCTTTTGATGTTAAGGCCATTTTCACCTCCCCTGTTGTTTTAATTTGTTGTTGTGTTACCTCCATCTCTGCATGGAACTTTTATAACTTTGTTTTGTGTACCTGTGTTTTACTCTGTTTTTGTTTTTACTGCTTTGGTATGGTCTATTATTTTCTAGTATGGTTTTACTTGGTGATGTTTGTTTTACTTTGCAGAACTCTGGGCTCTCGAGTTGTACAGTGCTATGTAAATAGTTTATTATTATTACTAATAGTCAGCAGTGGTTGATCTGTTTTCATAACCGAAGCATTTTGTTACCTTGACCAATTCTTGCCCATACAGTTGTAAGATTTGAATCTTATAAGCTCTAGTTACTTTATAAGCTTTAGTTACTTTTCATACCTTTTCCTTGCTTATATATATTTAAACTGTATTGATGACTGCCATATTCTACTGAGTAAAACTTTGGAACTGTATACTGCAACTTTTGAAAAGACATGATGTCTGTACCTTCAGGTAATCAGGCGGCCTATTTTACATTTTAACAAAGACCTGTTGGCCTGTTTTGCATCTTCACCTAGACCCACTTAGTATATTTCAAGTTCTGCTTTGTCATGTAGTATCTTGCAAAGACAGGGGGCTGTAAGATTTGAGTCTTATAGACTCTAGTTACTTTATCAGCTTTAGTTACTTCTTATACCTGTAGTTCCCTTTAGTTACTTTTCATAACTTTATTTTCTTTGTCTATACATATTACAGCTGATGATTGTCCAGAACTACTGAGCTTTGGTTATTTTAATACATTTATTTCCCTTGCTTATATATCTTACAATTGTAATGAAGAAGAATCTGCTTACTTTGAATGCTGTAACTTCTGTGTAGAAACAGGATGTCTGCATCTCATTGTGACCAGACGGTCTATTTACATTTTAGCAAAGGCCTGTTTTACACTCACACCTCAATCCACTTAACATATCCCAAGCTTTGCCTTGGGATGTCCTGCAGAGGCCAGGGACTACAACCTGAGATGACCACCTGGCCAGTTTAACATACTTATTAGCATCACACACACAGGGGGCCTGCAACTCAGGCCACCCATTGAGGAGTGCACCTCGAGATCAAGACCAGGGTGCCGGAGACACACACACACAAACACATGCCTAGATTTACCATATTTCAACATGAAAGTGCGAGCTCCGGCTCACACCAAATGACCAATAGGATCACAAACTATTGAAGGTTGTACCCCTGTCCAGGGTGGAGCAGCCCAAGAAGATAAAATTTATTGTAAGAACTTAATTCGGGGTTCAGAGAAGTCGGATCTGCTGCGGGAGCTCTGTCTCTCTGATCCCAGCACTGTAATGACTTCACCTGTGCTCAGACTTTCAGTAAACTTTCTGTTGA